TTTTATGCTCAGCTACTAAGATTTCCCTTCAGTGGTAAAATTCCATATGAATATTCAATACTACAACGGGCACAGTAAAGATGTTTACTGTAAATCTTTCTGCGACAGACTAACGGACCACGAGTGCCCCTATCGGTCAACCAATCACGTACCGCGGTACCGCGCGTCATCGTGCATCACAATGGGCGACGCCATAGCCAATTACCTCCGGTACGTGTCTGTACCGCGCACTTTGAATGGCTGCAGCTGTATGAACATTTTTATTGAAATGCTGCCACGTCCACCCTAAAATGCATAAAAAATAAAACAGGAGCATTAACTGCAAGAGGGATTTAAAACTAGTATACAAGAATAGGTTAGATTTGACTTGGATTAAATGAAGATATGTCCAGGGCACAAAGATCTGTACTGGTTTAATTTCAAAACGCTGCCTTTTTGCAGCTCCATTGTGAGTGAGAAAACTGATTAGGTAGGGGCCATGGAATAGAAAGGTAAAAAATTATGTATTTTAGCACTGTACAAACTCAAACCAGTTTTCATGGCACATGCTAATTTACTTGAGTGCAGACCTCCTTTCACACCTTTTCATCACAATTCCGTTTGTCATTATGTAATTAAGTAGTTATTAAATACAAGATAATATCTGGAACAGACCACAAAAGTAAAGACTGATAAAATACTTACCTGCTGAATGTACTGTGTAGCACAGGTGATAAATGCAAAGTGACAGTCATGCTTCAAGGCAGAATCATCCTATTTTATAGGCAATGTAAGCAAGAAGAGGTTACTAAAAGGTCATTTTTTGAAGACAAACATTCTTGTTTGTTTGCGTACATGTTTTTGCAGTCTACTTTTTAAATATTTGAATAGATGATAGCTCATTCAGATAACACTAACCACAGAAAGAATGCACTGGAAAGGAATGGAAAGAGGCAGTTTTTGACCTCTCTGACATCATTCGTTATGTATAGCTACTCCCCAGTCAAACATTTCCCAAATGCCCTTTATACACAAGAAGAAATGCATTTTCTAATACAGTGTAGCATTAAATTCCAAAGTTCTAAATTCCTAAATAATGGAAATTCTGACCTCAGAATACTAAATTGCAGTGTAGATAAAAATAAAACATATTTCTAGAATCTTTCAGTTCAATGAAAAAGTAGCATGGTTGTCTGCTGAGAAATGCAGGAATTCTGCAGTCGCCTGTCCCTGTACATACAGTCAAGTGCTTCCTATGTAATGTCAGCCTCCAGGAATCTTGTGAAATTAGCTTGACTGCTCTCATGGCACTGGCATCTGCTGGGATTGGAAGGTTAAAGTCCTGATAATATGGAGTTTTTAATGAAAGTTCGGGAGGAATGACAGCAGCCGAGCTCGTTCGACAGCTGTTGCAATTCCCACTAATCCTGACAACCGGTCTCCATATTTATATATCAAACGTCACCCTCTCCTCTTCCTCGTTCGTTTTCTGCATGGTTCGTTTTCGCCCAGATTTTAATGCGTGCTCCCTTCTCATGGATCTGCAGATTCGCTGCTGCGATGAAGACCTTTTCTGGAGACTCTCCTACCCCTCTCGTCCAGTCCTCCCCCCTCCCCCCGCTTCCCTTACCTCCGTCTCATCGCCTCCTTCACCCGCTGTGCCACATCAGCGCCGCTCATCTCCCAGCCAGTCCTCACAAGATCCAACTTCTTGCTGAAGACTGTGTTCCGCCGTCGTAGTCCTTCTCTCATTACAAACCCAGCCTTCCCGTTCCTCCACGGCAAAGTCTCCAAATAACCCCCGTTTCTCTCAAGGATGTCCCTGCCGCTGCGCTTCACGCACATCAGCTCCCCCTTCTCCTGGATCATCTCTCGCGATTTCCAACTGGACCGTAGCAAGCCTCCAAAGGATACTTCAAAAACATGGCGTCTGTTTTAAAAGAAACGCTTCCAAAAAAGATCTGTTTTCCCTGTACTTAACCTCAGTCTACACGAAGGAAACATCAGCTACACAGCTTCCCCCGGTGCCCTCTGATGACATCACCCGCGCCGCCGTCACTCATCCCAACGTGAGGACCCCGAGGTCGTCCGCACCTCTGCCTGTCGCGTCTTCTGTCTTGTCTTGTCCTGATATATCTGTGTCTGTGTCTCTTCCCCAACCAATCCATTCCTCTGCTGAACAACTGCACCTAGCCTCTTCCACCCAGCCTCCTTCCCTAAACTCCTTGCTGCCAAGTCTAAGGCCCCAGGCTCACGCCCCTCCCCCACCCCCTTCTCTGCTTAATCTAATTTCTGCACTCTCCTCTGTCTCTACCTCCGGCGTCCAACACAGCTCAAGTGCCACCGGCTTGGTGCCTTCGGCCTTGGTTTCTTTTCTTTTAGCCCCTGCTGCTGTCTCCACGGCCCAAAGGCCTTCCAGTAAACGACCCCCAGCTCAGCCAGCAGGTGGCCCTTACCCTCCCCCACCCCCTGGCGTCCAAGACGACTTGGCAGCCTCCTCAGTCCTTCACGAAGCCTTCGCCCCTGCTTCAATTCCTCCTCAACAATCTTCGGCTTCCATATCCCAAACCACTGAGCTTCAGGCCCCAGATCCGTCTAACCCTTCCTACCACAATCTGCTTTCTGCTCTTCTTCCCTCCTCATCTTTTCCCATCCCCGGTGTCCAACATGGCATCAGTCATCCCGTGCCTTCGGCCCTGGGTTCCAACCTCGCCTTTACTCAAAAAGGACTTTTCTCTCCAAACAGCTGTTCCTCTCCCAGCTCCTCCTAACGCACTAAATTTTAGTCCTCCTCCCATTCCCTTTTCACTCCGGCAGCAAATTTTACGAGGTGCGGATGTCAATCTAGCTCACCTTCTCTCTTCCTCCACTTATAACTCTGATTCCAGAACAGTCGACTGTGGCTCGATTTCCGTTACTCTCAAATCTTCTGACCCTCATTCTGCTTCAGTCCTTGGAATTTCCAACTTCTGCTTGGCTTTCAACATTTTTCGCGACATCATGTGCTCCGCCTTTCCCAAACGTTGTAAGGAACTTGACGATTACATGCACATCATCCTCGATCAATCTGTCCTTTTAGAGGGCTCCCTGTTCTACTATTACCACAAGCAGTTCTCGGCCAAGGCCGCTGCCCGCCTACTCCAATGGAACCAGCGCACCTACTGGGGAGCCCTCGACATTGAGCTTTACTGCCGCACTTTCGCCGACATCAGAGCTCTTTCCTGCGACTTCTGTTCGTCTTGGACACATCCATCAAATCTTTGCCCAAATACCATCCCTGACTTTGCCCCTTCTCCCCCTCAGCATCAATTCTCCCGCCAGGTCTTCTTCAAACCTTCCCAGTCCAGAGACATTCGCGGTCACCCCATTGTGATGATCAGAGGCCAACAAATTTGCAACAACTTCAATTCCTCAACACGTACCTCTTCCCTTTGTCTCTTTCTTCACATTTGCAGCTTCTGCTGCGAAGCTCACGCTCGCTCTGCCTCCCCCCACTGACCCTTCCATGCTCGCTCCACCTTCAGCGTTCCCAAATGACTACTGGCTTTTCTGTCTACCCCAATCGATATCCCCGCTCTTGCTTCCGAACTGCTCCATCACCCCAACCCCTCTTCCACCCACATCTTACTCGACTGCCTTTCCTTCGGATTCTCACCAGGCCTGTGCACACTTCCTTCTTCCTCCGTCTTTTGCAAAAATTTGCAATCTGCCACCACCGATCCCCAGTCCGTTGATTCCTTGTTAGCATCTGAAGTCGAGAATGGTTTCATGATCGGCCCACTTGACTCCTCAATCCCATCGGTATAGTGGTCCGTAAGTATTCCGGTAAAAAACGCCTTATAATCGACTTGTCAGCCCCCCATAACTCCCGCGTGCCAAGTCTCAATAGCCTTATTCCCAGTTCAGACTTCTCCGTCCACTATGCCACAATTGACCATGCCATTTCTCTCATTAAAATCATAGGTCCGGGTGCCTGGCTCGCTAAGGCCGACATCTCTAGTGCCTTTAAAGTTATGCCTCTCGACCCAGACTTCTGGCACCTCTTCTGGGTTCATTGGCAGAACAAGTTCTTCTTCCCAGTCCGCCTTACTTTCGGATGTAGGAGTAGCCCAAAAATTTTCGATACCTTAGACGAAGCCCTCTGCTGGATCCTCTTGAATATCTATAGGCTTCCTTTTCTTGTCCACCTTTTCGACGATTTCCTTACCATAGATTTTCCCCACTCCACACCTGCAAAAGCCTCCTCCACACTTATTTCTGTTTTTAGGAAACTAGGGGTACCTCTCGCCACGGACAAAACAACCGGCCCCTCTCATATAATCCAATTCCTTGGGATCACCCTCAATTCCATCAATTTCTCCGCCTCCCTGCCTCGCGACAAGATCGACAGGATCCAGACGTATATATCTACCTATTCTTCTGCCAAATCTTGCACAAAGAGGGAACTTCTCTCTCTGCTCGGCCACCTCAATTACGCCATGCGTATCATTCCCCAAGGACGGTAGTTCATCTCCTACCTTCTCGACCTCGCCTCTTCCGTGTCCTCTCTTTACCACCACGTAAGCTTTTCTGCCGACTACAAATCCGAGCTCAGGCTTTGGCAACTTTTCTTGGTCAACTGGAATGGCATATCTGTCTTCTACAATGACTTCCTCTCCGACGCCAAGGATATCCAGCTTTTCACAGACGCAGCCCCCTCAGTCGGTTTCAGAGGCTATTACAAAGGCCAATGGTTCGTGGCCCCTTGGCCTCCTGAATTCTCTTCAATCCGTCTCGCCGACCAGTCATTGGCCTTGTTCGAAATATTTCCAATTGTCGTTGCCACTTCTCTTTGGGGCCACAATTGGAAACAAAAATCCATCCTTATCCATTCGGACAACTATGCGGTAGCCCATATAATCAACAAAGGAAGGTCTTCATCCCGATCTATCATGAAATGTCTCCGTCGCTTTAATGGATTTCTCTCAAACATCAATTCATCCTCGTAGCTGTTCACATTCCAGGCCACCTTAATGAGATAGCTGACTCTCTCTCTCGCTTTCAATTTCAGAAATTCAGGAACTTGGCACCAGATGCAAGACTGAACCCATGCACACTACCTCCCTATTTGGAACTCACGTTCCTCTGAATCATCCTTTCCATCACTATGTCCAGCTGGCCCAGCAAACTATCCTCATAGGAATCGCCCCTCGAACTCTCAACTCTTACTGGACTGCCTGGAAGGGCTTCCAATCCTTCCACCTCTCTGCGAACATAAAATTCCCTTCTTTCGATATTCTCACCGTATCATCCTTCGTTTGCTATTGTAGAAACTCACTCAAGGTACGAGCATCTACCACCAAAGTATACCTGTGCAGCATCCACTTCTTCCATAAACTCCTTTTCGGCACGACCTGTCCCTCCCTTATCCACCCTCAAATTACTCTCCTGCTTAAAGGCTTTGAGAGGCTCGAAAAACCACTTCCAAACCAACGCGCACCACTTACCTCGGACATCCTCGAATCCTGCATCTATGTCCTCAGGTCGGGTTACCACTCACCCTGGGTCGACCGCACTCTTGAATCTTTATTCTTGTTAGCATTGCATGGTAAGTTCGATTTGAAGAGCTTTTTGCCATCAGAGAAGTTGTCCGGAGGTCACTACAAGGAAGTTACTCTTCTTGACTCCCATTTCAGGACAAATAGATCAACAACCTACCAGGTCTGCTGTATGGTTGATGATATCGAACAATGCTTCCAAGAAAAAAAGAAAGCGGGTGCTGTTCTTGTGGACTTAGCAGCTGCTTATGACACAGTCTGGCATAAAGGACTCATACTCAAATTGCTTCGTACCATCCCAAACAAGAAAATGGTCCTCTTTATCCAAGAATTAATCTTTAACAGTTCATTTACCTTAACACTGGGCAACGACACCTCCAGGAAATGTAACATTAAGAATGGTGTCCCACAAGGCTCGGTGCTGGCACCAATGCTGTTTAACATCTACACAGCTGACCTGCCATGTACAAAAAGTACATATATGCAGACGACATTGCTATTATGCATTGCTCAACAGAAATCAAAGCAATAGAAACTACACTATCGAATGACCTGAACAAGCTGAACTGCTACTTCAAAGACTGGAGGTTTAAACTTAGCATCACCAAGACAGTGAGCAGCATTTTCCACCTCGCCAATCGCCTTGCTAACATAACAATCAACGTCAAGTGTGAAGACAAAACTATTCCATTTGAGAAAAGCTCGAAATATCTAGGAGTTGTCCTTTGCCACTCACTGACCTTCAAACATCTCGAACAAACAGCAGCAAAAAAGCACTGAAAGCCTCTGATGACTCCAACTACCTGCTGCACGATGCCATCTGCAACCAGAACACCACAATCCTCCAATTAGAAAACCGGCACTCACCTTCTAACACAATGAGGCGCCTTATGAAAGAAGCAAATAACGACAATGGCACTAATTGGGCTAACAAAAAGTGGCAAGACGCGTGGAATAATAACAACCACAGACTGAAACAATTTATTGACAAAGTATCCAGCAAACCTACCCAGCCAAGCCTGGGTCAAGCTGAACCAATTAAAAACTGGACTTGGCTGTTTCCGGGCCACCCTATGCAAGTGGGGTCTCACTGATGACCCAATCTGCGAATGCGGAGACGGCAAGGAGCAGACGGCTGACCACATCCTATACTCCTGCCTTCGCTTCAGATGCCCTGGCAATTTTATCGATTTGGATGATGCCAGCCACGACTGGCTGAGGCACCTGACTGTGACAATATAACTATGTAACTGCATGTTAAGCTCATACGAATGTATATATATATATTCTTGTTAGCCTTCTTCGGCTTCCTAAGATGCTCCGACATTACTGCTGCTTCCACATCCTTCGATCCTTTTTCTCAACCCTGCTTATCCGACATCTCCATCTTATTTTCCGATACACTGATCTTCTATCTCAAGAAAAGCAAAACCGACCAACTCAGGTCCAGCACTCTCATCTATTATTTCAAACTCTGCTCATACATAAGCCCATACGAGCCTCTATCCCATTATGCACATCTTTGATGCTTTGCCTACTGACCCTCTGTTCGTAAACGAGAAGGGCCGTATCGTGACCCGCAACTGGTTCCTCTCTCACCTCCACGACGTCCTTCTAACCACCGGATACCCCCTCGAACAATTCTCCGGGCACTCCTTCAGATCAGGGGCCGCATCTTCCGCCGCTTGCCAAGGCATACCTGGGTATCTCATCAAGCAACTTGGCCGTTGGTCCTCTGAGGCTTATCATGCATACATTAAAACTAACCCCGGTATCCTCAAGCAAGCACTTTCTCTCCTCGGCTGAATTTGTTTAATAATCATTTGGTTTTGTTTTTGTTTTTTCTGCACTGGTGACTGGGGGTCCCGCTTTGTTCTTTTGGGGGTCCTATCCTCCCCGTCCAACAGCCGGGAGGTTAGCCCTCAGCCAAGCGGGTTATGCCAAATCTCCACATCCCAATAAATAATTCTAATTTCTCGAAAGCTTTCGGCTGCCATCATTCCTCGTGAAATCAGGTTCCTCTTTGGTCTCTCTAATCAAGCCGTTTCAGAAACCCTGACCTCTACTACCTCTGACACAGTGCATCCTATACATTCATGTGTTTCATCCCAATGGACTCTCAGCCCCATCCAGTCCTAATATCAGCTGAAATCCCTTTATGCCACTTCCTACTCTTAATAATTAGACCAGTGATTTTCCTTGCAAATTTGAAGCTGAAAACTCATCCCACAACAAGTTGATTTTGAAAGCTTAAGTTGCAGTAAAATATTAATTTATTTCTAATGTTGTTCCTTTGAAAGGTTTGTTCAGAGCAGGAAATGAATATTGATTGGTTGAAGCAAACTAACGCCTAAGGAAACTAAAAATTTGATTAAGGTAATAAAGGCAGTTAAGAAAAATATTTTATACCCTTTATCAGTGATAAGGTGCAATCCCGATTCAAGGAAGATTAGATACTGTAGCGGCAATGCTTGTTAATAAGACAGAATTAAGCGTTGGTGTGCTTTCCTAAATGAGGCCCCATCTCACTCTCCATCTCTGTGGTGCAGCCACAGAGAAAGTATTCATGCAGGCTGATTTAAGATGTTTTCTTTTGATAAGGGACAGCTCCCAAACGGGGATGCACTTATCTAAGCCTGGCTATCATGATCAATGGTCATCCATTGGTGCCTATCTGTCTAGGGAGTGCGGAATGGACATCTGGACTGCATTCCTAAGTGTCAAGAGTAAGTGACTCATATCTCACCTTGATCAACCAATCAGGGACTGGCAGGGCGTGGTAAAACCACGTGGGTCTCCAATGCCCGCCAAACTCTCAACCAATCAGCACACATCTGTATCTTGGTCAAAAAGGGAGCGCAAGCTCAGATCGGGGCTCTCCTTGGCCATTTTCGCGCATACTCAGAGACAATCACGTGACAACTACTGTTGTCTGCAAAGGGACTTGGACTTTGTTCTAAGCACGAGGCCGAGGATCCCGTACGTACTCAGAATTCTACCAACGTGAATGCTCCGCTTGATCAACGGCAGCCTACAGTTGGACCCTCGTCGACAACCTGAATAGCTTATTCAGAAGCAGCGCTGGACCGGGAACGAACCAGCTTCTTCCCAGGCAAAAGAGTGACTTGTGAGGACTCGCGGTCACACTCTGTGCATAGAGACTTTCTACTAGCCAGCCGGACTGCTGGTAGATCCCCTCGGAGCAACGACTGCCCTGCGCGCCGCAGTTAGATTCCTCCGCCAGTCCTACTCCAAGCTGCACCTCGACTGGTTGGCCGGTAGCCAGAGGACTCCGGGACAACGCCCATTGGACAACCGCTGGAACAGAGGCTGCAACAGAGCCTGTCAGCTGGTTTGGTGTTCATGCCGGGAAATTCATACACAGTGGATAAGTAAACCCCATGTTCTACATTGCGTCTTGAGAATTCAATTGTACATCAACACAAGTTGTTATCAATTTAATTAATGAGTAATGTATCTACTTCCGAGTTTAGAGTAACAGTGGGTAATAACACTGATTAGCGATTTGGTAACCGAACGATATATATTGACATATATTCTCTGTTGTGTATCTCTTTGTGTTTGCATCTCTTCGAGATTATATACCTTGTATATTGATAACCCTCACCGTAAGGTCTGCCGCTCGTATCCAGGCAGACTAGTATATGTTTGGTGCACAATTTATATTAATAAATGTATCTCGTGTATTGAACCCGTGTGTGTGCGTTGTTAGTTGTTCTGACGATTGATTTTCTAAACGAACAACCTCGTGATTACTGCTCCAATTCATAATTGTCTCAGTAAACCCATCAAACCTCTACAATACTGTACCTATTGCACCTGTAATGGAAAATTATATACATTCTGTTAAAAAGTATTAGAAATTCTAAAAATGATAAACAGATTATTTTTTGTCTTGCACGTTTTCAATTTTACGAAAATGTGTATGAGTACATTTTTCTAAAACAAAATCAATAGTTAATTTAAAGACTTCTTTTAGAACTCTTTGCACATACTGTATTTATTTGCTAGAATAGATCTCAAATCAGTCACAGATAGTATAAATAGTGACCCCAAAACACAGGACTTACTATGTCCTGCTTACTATGTCATTTAGCATCCCAGTGAGCTAAGACCCTTTTTCCTCTTTGTATCGCCCAGAGCCAACAGTTTACTCACAGACATGGGCAGTAATATTACATAATTGCACTCCTTAGTACTCCAGCAGTTACATTATCTATCACTGACTAATCAACCTATAGAACACATGACACAAAAAATCCAAAAGGAACACACAAAGCAAAAGGTTTTAACCATCAACCTCAAGGTCCCCAGTAACCCAAACCAAAAGTCCCACAAACAAGAAATAGCTCTGTCCCTATCCTGGATCCTGGTGTGCCTCCATTTTACCACACCTACAGTAAGGCAAAGAAGAAACTCTGTGAAGTCCTTTAATGGTCTTAGGTGTCTTCCCCAATCTAAGCTGTCCTGGGGATGGAAAAGATACATGGGCTTTCCCCTGCTGCTCTCTGTAGGGCCCCCCTCAGTGTCAGGGTCCTCTCTCATTTCCAGTGCCCCCCCCAAATTCTTC